GAGAGGGAGAGGACCTCTCATTACTCTTCGTTCGGCGCACGGGAAAAATATTCGAATCCGCTTGGCTGGTCTCGTCTACAACTCTCATTCTCTTTCCACTTGTTCTTCCTCCTTTTTTAACTCCCTTTGCTAGGACTTTTTATCCCTTTCCTCTTGCTTACGCTCGCAAATTCCGAGAGAAGAAAATTTCCTTCGAAGGAATATCCGGGGACCCGAGAGGGACAAACAGAACGATTTATGATACCCGATTTGTTCCTTACAGAGAGAGAAAAGAGTTCTAATTCTCGGGAGCATGTCCCTCATTTTTACAAATTGATACCTAATTTTATTTATTTTCATTTCCTCTATCTGCGCAAATCCCCACAAATTTTCCAACAATGACTCCGGAATGTATAAAATAAATTCTGTTCACGGACAGTTAGAAACAATTTGAAATTTAATTAGCTCTCAAATAAAAAAGAGGATAGCGGTTCGCCGATTGTTTGTACAAAACTTTGAACAAATTGTGATCTCGAGAAGTTTCACTAGTTTCTCTTTTAAAAAAACGGCTGAAACGGCCAGAGGTGGAATTTAATGTCCGCAGTGGCCGCACCCACCGATAAAATGTCAAAAAACAAAACAAAGATAATAAAAATATAGACATGGAGCACAACGACACCGCGAGACACTCGTGATATTTGAAACAAGAGAGGATAGAGAACAATGGAAGAGAGAAAGAGAGATGAGATACAAAAGGTCAGAGAGCCCTTGCTGGAGGGAGATGAAACGGTAAAGTTTGGTAAACTGCTGTATAGATATACTGGGCTACCACGGAAAAAGGGTATCACAGATTTCAGAGGTTTGAGGTATGAGAGACTAAGAGAGAAAGAGCCAACTCGCTCGTCTGAAACGATAAGAGTATAATGTGGCGCCGGGGAGTACCAAGACTGGGAATAACTTTTATCCACCTGCAATAACAGGGCCAGAACTCTTTCGCGGTTGCGTTTAAAGTGAAGGAAAGTGTCACGATATATTCCAGATGACGCCCCATGGATTTGTCTTACGGTCGGGGAGAATGGTTAAAAGCACTTGCCGCTGACACTCTTTCATTTCAATTTAACTCCCATTTGTTATAACTCCAACTGCGCGTTTATAAGTTTTAATATGTATATGATTACTTCGAGGTGCCATGGTACGTTGACAAGTCCAGAGATCATCTAGTTGTAGACTAACGGTCCATTATGTACTTTGTGGCCGCTCCAAGCAAATCCATTTACTACTTGTTTCATACTTATTTTTCCGGTTGAATGTGCAGGAGATCTTGATCTTGAAATTTTGTGCGATTCAAGAATATGCCACTAGAATATTTCTAAAGAACTTGTGTGTAGTCGAGATAGCAGTGGTTTTTTTCAGCTGTGCATCTAGTTCTTTTAAGGATGACTAGATATTCTCGCGAGGGCGACTGAATGGACGAGGATTCACCCATTCTGGGAGATTTCTCGTTCACCCAGAGAGCTGATTCAGTAAGATACTGAGGGTCCGGGAATCTCCAGCGGAAGTAGAATGGATCTTGCTTCTGGGAAATATTATTCGAACAAGTTCATGTATTCTTTATCAATACCACCATGTGGGGAAAATAAGAATGAGATTGAGGCCGAGGGAAAAAATTGTTGAGAAATCCGAGGGCTGGCCTCTGCGATGAATGCATCGAAGATGATAATTCAACTTTTGGAATACTTGGTAAATCCTTCAAACCACTCGTTGGAGGATAAAGGAAATATTGGGCAAACCCCGTGGCATGCTTGAATTTCCAGCCAAGCTGAGTTATCCGGCTGACGAGTGGCGTATCTGGGGTTCATATCGATCATCGCTATCGGATCGTGAATGGCCTGGGGTATACCCACTTGGAAGACTGCATCATCGAAAGGAGATTGGAGTTGAGAGGAAGTGCGAGGAGCCGAGCGAATTGGATTGTCCCGACAAAACTTCCTTAATTATCCTCGGTGGTTTGGCAAATTATTCGGGATGGCTCGACGCGGTTTACCATCAGGGTTGACGGTTCGCGCGAACAAACAATTCGGTTGTGGAGCAGCCTGGCCAGTGACAAACTACTGGGAACATCCCTGCAAGAATGACTGAGTTTTTACAAGTTCTCGAGCATCGGGTTATCCATTCACAAGTTTCAAGGGGGAAATTTGGATCCGTCTTAAGCCTGCCAGACCATAATGCCTGTCAATTGCTCCTGCCAAACGGTATTTCATCATTAATCAATAAACTTTTCGAGATATATTCAATTCTCGAACGATAACAACTATCGGTAGAGACCGGAGAATGTGAATGTGACGAAATTTCGTGGCCACTGCAGTCCGGCAATCGGATTTACCACTTTTGCGGAGGGTCAGTGACTTTTTTGGAAAATCTAATAACGATCTCTACTAACAATGGAGAGCCTTTCGGGCAAACATTGAAAAAAATATAATTTCCCATTTCTGTATCACTGAACAACATTTTTACGTTGATAAATCGTAATCAGCGTTAAATTTTTAACAGACTCGGAAAGCCTTCACCATCATACACTTTATGCAGTTTCCTCTGGAGTATAAAATGCCCTTGGGCTTGCCAGGACTTGCCCTATTCGTGAAATTTCAAGGATTTCACCGGTGGAGCAGTAACAGGCACGAGAGGAACGCTCAATTACACTGTGCAGAAACAGTCTCCTGTGCCGTGGACCCTCTCCAAAATGGCAAATCGTTATAGCTAGTTTGCTCCTCAAGTGTACCACTTACTTTGACTCTGTAAGCTCTACAGGATCATTTAAACAGTTGCATGCATACTCCAAGGCTCAACCGCCTGCTCCCGTGTGACATGTTCAACGAGCACTTCGGCCCGGAATAACGAACACTAAGTGATATTCAAAAGAAGAATCCAGTAATTCTGTTTTAACATGCAGCAAATGGAATCCAGACATCAGGTTGAGACGTGAGGTGTACGCCTCAGCCTGTCTTTCACTTACTCGATACCGTGCACTTTGATATACTTTGGGTACGCGCTCTTCGAGTTGTCACATCCTGCCGACGTGGAGAGAACTTCAATATTCATCAAAGCGTTTATTGACGAAAAGTAATAACATTAGAAATTGCCGAATCCATCATACACAGAGGCATCGTGCAAACGTTTCGCCATTTATACGGGATATTTGGGTCAGCTCGAGAGAAAATCGTGGGAACTGTCACACGGTACGATTAAATCACTCTCCACGATTTTTCATTCTTCATTGTATTGAGACTTGAAAATTCACTAAAAATATAAGAATTATTTCGAGAAAATCAATGTTACGGTATATTCAGTATAAGATATAAGGTATACTTGATGGAATTTTTTTTATTCCCCGAAGAATGAGGACAGAGAAATTTAAGTGAGTAACGAGTGAAGGATAAGGTAACGCGAGTTAAATTTTCACATAGTGCAATAACTTTTGGAATATTCTTCTCCCGCGAGTATCGGCTTGCTCTTGAAAATGGAATGCCACCTGAGGAAAGGCGAAATCTCAAATCCCTGGCACATGTCTGACGATATACTGGCAACTCTGCAGTTTCTGTAAACGAGAGAGGGATCTTCGAGAACGATGTGATGTCATTGGAAGTCTTGTCAAAGACGTCTGAGAAGGGATTGAAAAGCTGGGGGGATGAAACAAGCCCTTGAGCTAGACGTCCCGGTGGTATATATGTCGGGAATGGATTTATATACCGGTATATATCATACTGGATCGAATGCAGATGACTTGAAACAAGGCACTGGGTGATACCCTTTTTCTCTCCTCTTGCTGGATTCTCCCAATGATGTTATGACATGTCTTGCAGTTTATTAGAATAAGAGTGGAATCTTCAAGGACGTCATGCTGTAAGACAAGCTTTCTACCAAGAGTATTTGATATCCTTTGTGTCGAATAGATCGGCAAGGATGATATTTCACTTGGGAATTCCGATAAAACGAAACTTGATGTCATCTACTCCCTATTTCAAAGGGATTAACTCGAGAGTCAATTTCATGTTTCTCCTGGAGTGAAATTGAATAATTCAAGTCGAGACTCATCATCTCTTTCTTCTCCTCAAATATTCTCAGTTGTAGAGGGAATTAAATATTCACTCATTGAGTGCTGAGAAATAAAATTTCATCTCCCAAGGCGAATTTAATAATTCTCCTTAAAAACAATCATTCGAACAGCAAAATTAACGGAATATTTGATGAATCTGGGCTTGCAAAGGTATAATTACTTGACTTGGTTAAAGAAATCATGTTCTTGTTGTGAATGCATTGTTCATAATTTAGCGGATAATTTGAAAGTGCTTTGGTGATGCTGTATAAAAGCAAGGTAATACTCTTCATTACGGTTTGTTGTGCATCACCGCTAATTATTGCCTCCGCATCTCGGAAAATTCAAGGTTTTGAGGGATCTAAATCAGTTTGTCGGGCTTACTATTGGGAGCCAGTAGGATAGTTACGGTTAGTTTGCGGTGGACGTTTGTGGGCACGAATTGGAGAATGGTCAAGCGCGCGGTATACACACGTGGGTAGGATCCAGAATGAGTAAATGCAACGAGAGTAGGCATTTCTCTTCCTCTCTTTCTCTCTCTGTTTCATCCGGGTTGAAAACTTTCTCCTGACCATAGTCTGCATGTATCGTCTGGTTTCGTTTCGTTGAACTCCTATGTACTCCAAAAGGGCTCCAAAGCTTATATCCATGGCCAATATACGTGACGTTGTTACCGTGACAAAGGATCCATTGTGCTACCAGAAATTGGCGCTATTTTTGGCTGGAAAATGCATTTTCTTCATGTCGATGGAAGTACTTTCTTTTGTCGGAGTGACATTCACTGATTAATCATTGAGTCTCTCATTGAGAAAACAACGTCTTCCACTCTTTAATGGATTCCCGAACGATGGATGAGTTTAATTTCTATTTCGAATCCGAACTGTTTCTGAGATTTACTCGTTTAATAAGAATGAATGATGGACTTTACCTCGCCTTACTCCAAATCTCATGAAGAGCTTCTTCAGTTATTTCTTAGATGTATCACCCAAAGGTATGATCTGAAATGAAAAAATTCGGGTCATGTTTGGCGTTTTCTCAACGCACATTCATCATCCAGAGAAATAATTTATTATAATCAAGTCAACAATTTTTTTATTTCTTCGATTTATTTAAAGGATAATATTTTTGTCATTCAAGCATGCTACTGTACAGGTACATTACTATGTACTCGGTATGGTAACAGACACGAACCCATCGAAAAATTTCAATATAAGACGTTCAAAAAAACAAAAAAAACTCCCAGCTATCTTCTTCATATCATTCAAGCCGGATAAATCGAAAATATACATACATCGAGACGAATACGAATAAATCAAAGAATATCGTAAAAATTCACGTCATGTTTGACGTTTTATCCACGCACATGCATCGTCCAGAAAAAAGTTTATTATAGTCAAATCAAATTTTTTAAATTTCTCCAATTTATTTCTGTTATTTAATTGTATCTAATAATGTAATATTTTTGCATTATTGGTTTGTAAATGCTTAGTTCCTCCCTAATAATCAGACCTAAATAAATTATTCTAAATGAATACACGAAAAATGTTAATGAGGAGGGTAATACAGATTTTATTTGCCTGAAATTAATCACGTTTTATGACCATTAGACCGTCGATTTCACTCTCTCCTAGATGCGGCGATGTGAGGCGAAGATAATCTCCTCGGAGTAATAAAAAATGATTGCCCAGATGTCAGAGGAATAAAGATCGGCGAGATACAAGAGAATCATGAGTTGTTGATGGAACGACGGAAAAAGGGAAAAACACTGACTATTCACCGACATCAGGGAGACTGTGACTCGTCTCAAGAATAATACGGTACAACAGGAAAACGATAGATCTTAAATAAAAATAAGGCGAAATATTATACTTTTTTGGGTGCGATAAGAGGAGCAACGGTATTCCCGATGTTGAATGGTGGATAAGTTGTAGAGGCGGGGGGTGGTAGCAGCTTCGTGAGGGATGGCTGCCATTTATTCTCGTCACGTTGTTGGTGTGAGAAATAAAAAAGGGAGCGGAGGGGGCGGGGGTTGGAATAGGAAAGGGTGGAGGTTGAGAGAAGTTAAAAAAAGTGAAAAGAAATGAGAGTCTCGGGTAATCCTTTGCTATCTTCTTGCATTCCACTGGATGCCGATGCAGGATGAAACGGTGGGTGACGGGCAGAGGAGGTGACAGGGGGTGGGGGACAAGGGGGTTAGAGAGGCGGAGGAAGAGTTAACGGTGGAGGAGAAGGTGCCCTGAGGACTTGGGTCATATCGATTTTATTTCACCGGAGAGTCGCGTGCGCGGCGAGTTGCGAGATCGAGACGTGGAGCTTCTGCAGCCCAGTGGCATTACCAACTGGAGAATGACAGGGAAAACAGAAACGAGGAGAGGAGATAGGATTTTCAGAGTGACTGGCTTCTGCAGTAGTCATGGATGACACTGGTCAGCCCTGGGGTTGGACCCTCGCACCACGTCGGCACTTGTCCAACTTCACTCGAATGTCCACCCGGCTCTTCTCAAAACTTGGACGTGCGTTTGTTGAGTTGCTCTCGAGGGTCAAAATGGCGTCGTCAAAGAGTGAGAAATTTCAGACGAGCTCCCTTGGTGCCCATCGCCCTTTCATTTTCACTTCATAGGCGGGAGTTGACCTCAATATGCTGGGTCTCGATTCAATCCAACGATCATTGTGATTTTCAGGTAGAAAAAGAAGGGGGAGAGCTTATCAAGCGCTCGCAACATGCACGGATCATCGCTGTGGAAGATTTTTTTTTTTTGGATACTTTGCACGTCTGGAGAGATTCACTGTAATTGCTTCGTACCTGGAGCTACTTCGACGCGGGATCCGGAATTTTCTCAGTGATGCGCAAGTGAAAATTCAAAGCTGTGCGCTAAAATCGGTATCTACACTATTTCATAGAAATTAAACTCTCAGTTCGCTTACCGATTACGGAATCGCCTCGAAAAATTGAATTCACGGTCTCGTAAATTTTCATAGATAATTCAGATTAAAATTATGTAACAGTTCCATAAAATTTCCTACGACCACATTTCGCTCCGGAATTACGGAAAAGACACGTATTTGTTATTAAATATTTCT